TAGAAAGGTTGTTATTACCCGTTGTTGCGAAAATGTTTATACATGAGTCCGCGAGAAGTCGATCCAATTTCCAATGGATGGATGGGATATTTTATCTGGACGTTTATTGTCCTCTAGTTTCACCCAAGTTGGTTCGAGAGATGATATTTTTGCTTTTGTTGGCTTTTGTTGAGGACTGGCGAATTATTATATTTATAATTTTATGTCTATTGACCGTTTTTGGTATTTACAATGAAAAGAGTACTGTCTGCTAGATGCAACATGATATTTCAAAGAATTTGAAAAGAGTTGACTATGAGACAATTTGTTTGAATCCTATAGCTATTCGTAGTTCTTTCGGTAATAAAAACTGGTCAAAGCTTTTACTTGGTATTCATTCATTTTTTGTTTTTACGAATTCCAGGCTGTTCAACCCCCTCCCCACCCATTGTATACAATGTAAAGTCAAAATTTGAAAGAAAAATAAGTAAAAATTAATGTTTTTAAATAACAACTAATTCAGAATTTTTAGAAAAAAGTGTAAAACCAAAAATTATTTTATAAAAATATAACATAGCCAAAGGTCTATAATAAATGAACTTAAAGATCTCCAATAAAATTTATGGTGGAAATATTACCTAATGTTGGTGTCTAAAACAGTAGCAATAAAAATATAAATAAACAGAAATAATTAAACTTCGGTCGGAGCGTAGTCAGATATATCCATGCAACTAATAAAAACTATCATTATCATTATGAAAAGAAAGTATGAAATAAAATTTTAAAAATATACCTAATCCAATAATATTTTATGTAACATTAATACAAAAAAGAAAATAAAATGGATTCATTTATATCAAAGAGGGACCATTTTGGAACAAAATAAATACAGAAATTTTGATTGGATTTGCACATGGAATTAGTTAACATTGACATTTATTATAGATGAGTTTCAGTCTCTTGCGCTTGTAATACCTATTTGTCAGAATAGAATTGGATAAAAAAAGATGGTGGTTGCACTCAATAAAAGATTATTGAGTATTTGGAATATGGCGATAATACTGTAAAACGGCGTATGATGTAAAAAATAACTTTTGAGTTTTTCAATAATTAATTTAAATTTGAAAAATAAATGGAAAACTAACATAATGTAAAAAATATATATATAAATTATTATTGATAAAGGAAATATTTATAAATAATAAAAAAACCTAAAAAATAAACGAATAAGGGCCAGGGTAAAGGATTGAAAAAAAATATAGGTAGAAGCCCTGAGAACAAGAATTGCTCCTTTCAGCATATGCTAACAAGTTAATAATGTTTATTTGTTATATTAATTTAATAATTACCTTTTTGTAATCCAATATTTTATTTATCAAATTGTAAGTAAACTTTGACAAGATTCTCTAATAAAATTGTTACATGTAAACCTTCAGATTGACATGTAAATGTTCCAATGTGCCTGTTATAACGTTCTTGCTCCTTGCTTTTAACAAAAGTTAATATTAAAAAAAATTCATATTCTACCATGATACATTATATACATACATATGTCACATGATAGAGAAAAGTGTAAACAACTTTCACTTGATATAAATTATAAGTATATCATTTATTTTTTAAGTTACATTATTTTTAGGGTTTGACTAAACTGCAAATTCCTAGGTAAACTACAAATGTGAAGGTATACTGCAAATGCTTAGGTAAAAATGTTTTTTATATATTCTATTAATTGATATAATTCATTTTCTTATGATATAAACAAGTTATAAAAATTAAATGATTACGTATAATATTCATTAATAAATACGTTAAAATATATAATTGATATTCAATCTGCAAGTTGGAGTTTATTGTTTTTAAATGCCTTATTCAAATATATAAATTTATTATTATCAAATTTTTTTTTGTTATCTTTAGGTTCAAATTTGAAAGTTTCAATTTCTAATGAAATTTTTTTATACATTTAATTTACAAGAATATTTTATATCTGTCATTTCAAATCTCAAATAAACATAAATAAATTTTTTTCCTATGTTATTATTACATTAAAAATATTTTTGACATATACAGTTGTGTGAATGATTTGTTATAAAACATTTCCATATATTTGTAACAACTTTCATATAAAATTGTTTGACTTGCTAAAAAAATATCATATTAATACATTTTAAAGTAATATAAATATAGCAAGTTTAACAATTTTTTAAGAAAGTTGTTACAAAATGAAAATGTTATACAACAAATCATATTTATTCCATGTCAAATCGATCAAAAAAGACACATTTTCGGCCGACCTCTTTTAAAAATGTTAAAAATTTCTGGAAATTAGTTAGATAGGTAAAAAAAATGGGAAAGTCGTTTTTGGCTCGCTATGCTCTGTATTATTTCAAAAACATTTTAGATTAAATTCCCAATGTATTAAAAGAGTTTATAAACTCTTCCCATTAGTAAACTAATGAGAGAACATTCTCTTTTTTAAGAAGAATAACAGAGGCCTGCAGAGGTACCATTTGCAGGGCACGACCCGGATTTTTTTAAAAGATTTTTTACGGCCCGGCCTAGGTTTTTAAAAAAAAATTTTCAGGCCCGGCCCGGCTTTATTTAAAAAATTTTTTAGGCCCGACTCGGCTTTTTTTAAAAAATTTTCAGGCCCGGCCCGATTTTTTTAAAATAAAATTTTCAGGCCCGGCCCAGATTTTTTAAAAATAAATTATATTTATTTTTGATTTTTATAGCTAATAATAACGATTTCAAATATTGGCTATTTTAAAAAATACAGCCCGGTTTGGGTGTTTTAAAAGGATTCAGGCCCGGCCTGGGTGTTTTTTTTAAAAAAATATCGGGCCCGGCCCTGATATATTTAAAAAAATTAAAATACTGTTCGGACCGGGGGCCAGGCCTATAGGTCTCTAAAAAACATACCAAGAAGTACAACATCTGAAAGTAGATTGAAAGGTTTGGATCTTTTGAGGCATTTGACGACAAGCAAGGATGAGATAATTGAAAAATTAGCTCAATCACAACGAAGATTGGATTTTACATTGTAAATGTATAACACACAAAATGCAATTATTCCTAAGAAACCTTTTTTGTATAGGCTTAAAAAATTCAAATTTCTATTTTGTGTCATTTAAGTGATTCTTTACAGATAATTTTTCTATAATTCACATTAATTTAAAATTGTGTATTAGAAAAATAGTTTTAGTCCTAATAAATTTATGCTTAATATTTTTAAAAAACAATAATATTTCTTAAAAAAATTTATTATCCCCCCCCCCCCCCAGACCAAATTCCTGCGTACGCGCCTGTTCCGAGTTATTAATTTTTGTCCTGGCTTGATGCCAATTTTGGCCCCTTTTTTATTTCGTTAATATTTTTCTTTATATTATCTGCTAAACAGATTGAAAAACATTAAAAATAGTTCAGAACTAGTGGTTTAATCTATTTTTATCAGGGACCCGAACCGTTATTTGTAACAGTTCAGTTTGGTTACGGTTCAGTATGTAAAATATTATAATGGTTACGTTTAGGTTACGGTTCTTAAGAAAAAATTAAAGGTTCAGTTCAGTTCAGCTAATTATAAAGGTTTATAATGGTTCATTACGGTTAGAATTTTTTTTTATTGAAGCAAGACCATCGAATTTATTTTTATTATAAGCATCTATGAATTATATATAAAAAAAATATATAAGATTCAAAATAACTCATTTTTAAATATATTATAATTAATATATTTTATAATATAAATGGATTCTTATTTGTTTGTTGTGACGATAACACAAATTTTAGCCCCGAAAAGGCCCTTTCTATAGAAACTTGTGTTGCGGGAACCGCCAGTACTATAAGAGCAAGTGTATATTATTCTGGATATTCAAATTTTTTTGATTCCTAAAATATAAAAACTTAACCGGTTTAAACCGGTTTAACCTTTTTCTATAAAGGTTATTTTTACTACTTCAAAAAATAATTATATCGGTTCGATTACGGTTACGGTTCTGATATTTATAATGGTTTAACGTTCGTTACGGTTCACTCCGGATCCCTGATTTTTATTCGCAAGGTTGACCAAAAATTTTTTTTTATTAACTAATCAACTGAATAAAGCACTCATAGATACTAATAAAGCACTAACCATATTCATTGTTTGAATCAATCCTTCTAATCGTTCGGTCAATTTCAGGAAGCTGATGAAAGATTTAAAAATAATAATGGTAATCAAAAACGTATTTTAATAAAAATTCCCAATAGTTTGGGGGCAAAATCCCTCCCTCCATCCCCCTTCAACGTAGCCCCTCTCATAAAAATATCCTGGGTACGTTGTCTGTCATATCCCATCAGAGTGTTTACATCTTTACCAACTACAGAGTTAATTTTTTTATATTTACATTTTATTAATTAAATAGAAAATTTATTATAAAAACTTCTCTTTAAATTAGTTGCGTTTGAATTGAGCTAAGCTAATAGTCAAAATTAGTTAGCTGGTTAGTCAATATGTATATCGACTTGTATTAACTAATTAAATGAATCGATATTAATGTATATAAGAAATATTCCAAATTTCTAACGATTTTTATTTAATCGATCTACACATTTATGGTTACTACTACTTACAATACCGTACTGAATTTTTTTTTTCATCTCCTTAAATCTTGAAGTATTATTGTATTTATTCTGATAATTGTTATGAGTATTCTAATATTAAAGACGATATATAACATTGGATATTTATTATTATTTTTAATTAGTTAAACAAATATTTAAATAGGAATGGTAAATTATAAAAATCTCTGAAGCCTTAATTCTTGGAAAAATATGAAAGAATTTTAATTAAATTTATTTACCATTATCAAAAAATAATAATTTATAGAATTTTTTTTAAATCAAAAAAATTAGCAATAATATATAAATAAATAAATATTTTGGTAGTAATTTTTATAAAATATTTTGATATTAATTTTTATAAAATATTTTAGTAAAAATTTTATAAAATATTTTTCACATTTTAAAACTAAAACAAAAATTGAAGTGAAATATAATATAATATATAAGACTTTTAGATATGAAATTCTTATTGTTTTTTATGTTAGTATGTTTAATTAACGTCATGTACCCATTAAACTTGAATATAAATTCTGAATCAGATCAATCAAACCATTATGTAAGTCATATAATATTGTATCATATAATTAAATCTATTTTTATATGTTTTCTTTAGGAAATTTAAAGTATAATGTAAATTAACATGTTAACCCATTTTTTCTCGACCTGTTAATTTTAGATGGGTTTGGGTTAATATTGTTGAACGGCGCAATTTGAGCTGATTTTTAAAAATGTCTAACCTACTATTTTGCCCCAGAAAAATATTATCTAAGCCTCGAGATTTCAATAGATGTTTAAACCTTTGTTCCATATATGAGAGCAAAATCTTAAAGCTTGCATAATATTTTTCTGGATAAAATATTGTGTTAGCCGTTTTTAAAAATCGGCTCAAAACGAGTCGTTTGGCAACACTAGTTTGGAAAATAATACTCATAATTTAAAAAAAAAGAAGAGAGTATAAGAAAAATTCTCAAAAAAATAGGAAGTAAAATGAAAATTTTATTATTGACAAATGTCAGAATATTGATAGAAGGGTGAAAAGGATATAAAGGGTCCTCAACACACTTCAAATATTTTTAAATCTATTACTCGCCATTTTCTATCTCTAAATTATAGGGAAGGAGGAGATTATTTTAAATTTTAAACAAATCTTTTCAGAAGCATCTATACAAGCCAAAAAGGTTCTTTCGATTACTTATAAATAATATACTCATAATTTTTTCTTAGGGGAAATTTTGCAAAAATAACAGCAATAAAAATAACACTAATATCCATTTAAATTTTGGAATTTAATTACATAAATTTTACTTAATTATCTTTTTTTCGAACTTTATTATTATATTGTAGAGGATTATAAAAATAATTATTCATTGGTATTTTCTTTTATAAAACAGACTCCAATTTTCAAGTACATGAATAATAGAAAAATTTAACTCGAATATTCCTCTGAGTGAATTTATTCATATTTATAAAACTTCATACAAATTATTTTTATCGATACTGAAAAAAAAATTAAAATATCAAGATACAGCGATTTCATTTTGAAATTATCTTAAATTAAAAAGTTTCCAAATAAATATAACCATTAATTTTACTATGAAACCCGGTTTGTTCAACCCTGAAGTTCTATACTATTAATCAATCTAAATAAATAAAACATATTTTGACAGGCGCATACGCAGGAATTTGGTCTGGGGGGGATAAAAAAAATTTTTAAGAAATATTATTGTTAATTAAAAATACTAAGCATAAATTTATTAGGACTAATAAGCTTTTCTAATACACAATTTTAAACTAATGTGAATTAAAAAAATTATATAAAACCGGCATTGAAAAACTATAAATAAATGTGAATTATAAAATATAAAGTGAATATAACCCACGATATGAATCACTTAAATGACCTAAAATTGAAATTTGAATTTTTTGAGCTTTTAAAATATATAAAGTATAAAAAATTTAAATGTTGGAAATATAAATTAGTACACAAAAAGTTTCTTAGGAATAATTGTATTTTGTATGTTTTGAGCTAATTTTTCAATTATCTATCCTTCCTTGGCGTTAAATGCCTATGAATATTCAAAAGATTCAAATCATTCAATCTACTTTCAGATTTTGTATTTCATAGGTATGTTTTTCACAGACTTGCAGGCCCAGCCCCCGAGCCGGACCGTATTTTTAATTTTTTTATAAAAAAACACCCGGGCCAGGCCTGAAATTTTTTTTAGAAAAAATATCCGGGCCAAGCTGTATATTTTAAAACCAAATATTTGAAATCGCCATTATTAGCTATAAAAATCAAAAATAAATATAATTTTTTTTAAAAAATTCGGGCCGGAAAAAATTTAAAAAAAAAATCTGGGCCATGTCCTGCAAATAGTACCTCTGCAAAGCTCTGTTATTCTTCTTAAAAAAGAGAATGTTCTCTCATTAGTTTACTAAAGAGCTGCTAATATATATAACCATTTTAATACATTGGGAGTATAATCTAAAATGTGTTTGAAATAATGCAAAGCATCCATAGCATTTTTTGGGACTGTATCAACCATAGTTAATCTTTAAATCATAGTTATTCAGCTAATAAGGCATCATAAGATATTTTAACATCTTCATGATAAAAATCTAACAAATATTTATATTTTTTTTCTATCACCATATGAAAAAGGTTGGGAGAGGGGACATTTGTTTTATAATACTCTTTTACTGATCCTATATTAATGTTTTGACGATGAGCTTGCTTGCTGCAAGTCGAGGGAACAATTAAACTCGTATACCTCTGCTTTTGACTCAACAATAACATATAAAATATGAAATTCTTCATCAAATTTCCTTGAGTTCTAATAAAATGCTCTCCGCTATTCTCATCTTCTTAATCAAGTCTGAGTTCTAATAAAATGCTCTCCGCTATTCTCATCTTCTTAATCAAGTCAATGTTATGTTTTTGAAAAGTATTACATAAAGTTGTATAATTAAATAATACATTCTAATGAGGAAAAAAATTTGGAATAAGTATTGAATCCAATAATTTTGCTTCTGAGGAAATATTTCTTTCAAGCCATTGTGATATTTCAGTAATAGCATTAATAATCGGCTCTTCTAACTCCATAAAAGCTGTTACTGCTTGATGGCGGAGACTCGATCTCGTTGGAGAAGCTTGCAATTTCTTTCTCCCTGTTGGACAAGGAGTTTCAGAGATAATTATTATTTAACTAGAAATTTAGATAAATATTACACCACTAAAATTTTTAAATAACAGGTAAATTACGCCAAGGAAAACTTGAAATCGAAATTAATTGATAAAATAACTTAGTAGATGAATGTGATAAATAAATGTATATATGAGATAGTAATAAATATTAACAAATATAAATTAATATTAATAATATTTTTGAAAAATATAATCCGGCATCTGCATTTTTTGGCTTTGGGGGGGGGGGATTTGTCCCCCTGCCCCCCCCGCTGCGTACGCCAATGTATTTTGATCCTTAATGTACATATAAACTATTTAAAAATATATAATTTTTATAACACATTATTTTAAAAAAATGATTCGAATTTTTTTTACCAACGTAGGGGAGACCGCGGCATGTTGAGTACAGAGGAACGTCAGCCCACTCCAATTATAATTTAAACTCTTATTTTATAAGACTAGAAGTTGAAGCTTAAAATAGATAATTAGATAATACATAATTGGCTATGAAAAATTTAATTTAATTGCAAAGGGATTTTTACCAAAAGTAACAAAATATAATTGAAACTTATTTGTTTAGATTTATTAAAAAGACTTTTAAAATCTAAAGAAATATTTCACTGACTGACACTTTTCAGATTAGACGGCTGAAATTGGCGGGCTTACACTGTATTGTCTAACTTTTTTAACCAGCTCACCCACCCGCCATTTTTTTAAATTCACCCGCCCATTTGCCATTTATCTAAAAATTTTGTTCACCTGCCCCCTCAATATAAAAATTGTTTTACTTATTTTATTTAAATGTATTTTTACTTACACATATAAATATGCAAAAGTGTGTATTTCGCCTGAAAAATAATTGACCCATTCATCGCCCACACATTGTTTCACAATATTTTTTAACCAGCCCGATCCTCCGCTCATTATTTAAAATCTTCTAAAAACCCACCCATTGCGGACATCCATTCCAGATATGCTGACTCTCATACATATCAAAAAAACTAAGTTGAAACTAATATAATCTTCTGGCAAGCGAGACTATTAGATAATGTATTCCCAAATTGTAATTTTTGGTTGGTATTGAGATAATTGTAAGATACACTCCCGCATTGTGGCAAAGGAAATTTGGAATAATAATAGAGGGAAACTCAAAGATTATAAAATATGATATATTCAAAAAGCTATATGTCGTGGCATAGTCAATTTTTATAATATGTTTTTCACGGGGTTGACTTTGAATAATGACTTTGAATAATCACTTTAACAGTGTATGCTGTAGCCTCACAACCACCTTTAGGCCGACGCCTAATTATTTGGGGTAGAATAAAGAAGATGTAGGCACGATAAATTTGGAAGCAATTAATTTGGATACTAGTTTTCTGAAAAATATGATGGCCTTTCTGACTACATCAAAAGTGAATTGATCAGCAATAGGGGATGTCTAGCTTGTAGTAATTTGAAAGTTTCTTAGTCAAATTAGAATAAGACATCAAAATAATATGCTAAATTTGCTTGAGATGAACATGTTTGAATAAGGATATTGCCCATACATCCCCTGTGCGAAGGAAGCAAAATACCCCCATAAAAAATACCTCCATTCAAAAAAGTTAAATTTTTTTTGACCCCACCCTTAATCATAAACTTCAAAAATTATTTGTAAAATTATTTTTATATTATCAATCTTTAATTTATAATGACTAGTGCTGTAAGGGTTACTTCAAAAAAGAAACTCGTTACGTTTGAAAAAATGAAAGTTAATCGCTATTCAAAAAAGTAACGCGTTACTTAATTTTATTTTTATTAATTTTTTTCCTATAGTGATAATAAAAATAAAATACAAAAATAATGTAATAAAAACTTCGCTGTGCTAAGCACACGCACAACTGGAAACTGGATAAGAAGATAGGTGGGTTATATTATATTTAATAAATAAAAAGTTCAATGGGGAAAATTTATTAAAAATATTTAAAGAATTTTAAAAAATCTTATTAGATCATATTCGTAAGAATCTTCATACAGATCCTCATCAATTTTTATTGACATTATCAGAACTTCATTCAGATCCTCATCAATTTTTATTGACATTATCAGAATTTAATCTGAATTCATATTTTTTAGACATCAAGGTTGAAAAATTGAATTAGGTGCAATCTACACTTACAATGTTTAACTTATTACCCTTAATTTTATTTATTTGTATAAAAAATGTTTTATACTGAGGACATGACAAGTTAATTCATCTTCACCTGAAAATAATTACTATTGACAAAATATTCTTAATAAATAAATTATAATATTAGGGAATATAAATTAACATAATTGCAATATTAAATAGATTAACAATCTTGATTGTATAAAAATTAACAACA